AGTAGCAACATGCCCGCCTCCGTGGCCCACGTCCCTGCTGCAATGCTGCCGCCCAATGTCATAGACACTGATTTCATCGACGAGGAAGTGCTTATGTCCTTAGTGATAGAAATGGGTTTGGACCGCATCAAGGAGCTGCCCGAACTCTGGCTGGGGCAAAACGAGTTTGATTTTATGACGGACTTCGTGTGCAAACAGCAGCCCAGCAGAGTAAGCTGTTGACTTGATGGAAACCCCGGCGAGAGAAATCAAACCCCCAACTTCTTCGGTGTGAATTAAAAAACATTCCCTTAGACACAGTATCTCACTTTTCAGATCTTGAAAGGTTTGAGAACTTGGAAACAAAGTAAACTAAAAACTTGTACAAATTGGTTTTAAAAAAAAAAATTGCTGCCACTTTTTTTTTTTCCTGTTTTTGTTTCGTTTTTGTAGCCTTGACATTCACCTCCCTTATGTAGTTGAAATATCTAGCTAACTTGGTCTTTTTTGTTGTTTGTTTTTACTCCTTATTTCCTCACTTTCTCCAGTGCTCAACTGTTAGATATTAATCTTGGCAAACTGCTTAATCTTGTGGATTTTGTAGATGGTTTCAAATGACTGAACTGCATTCAGATTTACGAGTGAAAGGAAAAATTGCATTAGTTGGTTGCATGAACTTTGAAGGGCAGATATTACTGCACAAACTGCTATCTTGCTTCGTTTTTTAAACTATGCATTTGAGTAATACTTGTTAATTTATTCTATTTTAATTTGCAAAATATGCTAAACTGGAAGATTAAACAGATGTGGGCCAAACCGTTCTGGATCAGGAAAAGTCATACTGTTCACTTTCAAGTTGGCTGTCCCCCCTCCCCCATATGTACAGACAATAATAGGGTGTGGAATGTCGTCAGTGGCAAACATTTCACAGATTTTTATTTTGTTTCTGTCTTCAACATTTTTGACACTGTGCTAATAGTTATATTCAGTACATGAAAAGATACTACTGTGTTGAAAGCTTTTTAGGAAATTTTGACAGTATTTTTGTACAAAACATTTTTTTGAGAAAATACTTGTTAATTTATTCTATTTTAATTTGCCAATGTCAATAAAAAGTTAAGAAATACTTGTTTTCTAGAAGTCATTTGGGGGTGGTTGTTCCCTTTGGTGGCTTTTCCCCCCTTGCCTTTCAAGTTGAACACTGTATTGATGAGAGTAAGCATTCCAAAGGATAAATTACAGGACACTAAAACAGGTCATGATGAGCTTAAGCAGAGAGCAGGATTTAACATAATTGGCATAATGCTTCATTGTTATCATTGTAACATGCCTCTTGGTGTGGTTTAATCAAAAGCTGCAAAGTTGTCAAAGTGCTGCTTTTTTTCTTAATTGTCATCATATTCAAGTGTACTCCAGAGTTAGAAAGGTTTGCAATACTAAACACTATAAAGATCTTTTTCACTTGGGAGGGAGGGGGATCAAGTGTTTCTGGTTATACCTGATTCAACTACTCAAACGAAGAAGGATTGGAATAATATACTGAATGATTGATGGGGGTGGCATTAAATATAAACCTACTTTTATCTCTAGTGACAAATTTTATTTCTCAGCAAAACTGCTAAGGATAGGCACACAATTTCTAGCTTAATCTCTGAAATAGCTTCTGACTAGTTTAGTTCTGGGGGAAGAGAGGGGTGGAATTCCACCTTGAGGCTTCCTATTTTGTTCTCCTGTAATATTTAAAATTTGCTCCGCAAGGTTGATTCAAAGGTCAAATTACAATCTTCACAAGATGTCCCTTTCAAGCATGCCTGTTTTCCAGAATTCTGAGCTTTTTTCTCTTCCATGTATTGGGTGCAAAGTACACGAGGGTAAGATCACTTTCATTTTATCTAGATGAGTTATCAAGACCATTACTACAGCTAGGTGGGTGTCAAGTTTTGCCTTACATAATCAAGCAAAGAAAAAAATTAATATTGTTAAAATCTCAAATTATCCCAGGTGGAAGGAGAAGGAATTTTGTTTTCCTTTTCAAGGCTTATGATTAAGAGCAACACACCCTACATTCAAGAAAAAACAGACATGTGTTATACTTAACCTACTGGGAGAGTAAAGAAATGTAGGTTGAGGAGTCTTACAAATAATGTTTTAAAAGAGCATTTCACTTTGACTCAGTCTCATCTTAAACCCTAATTTTAGAAAAAAACAAGGACAGGTATATAGAAATGTGACATTAAAGTGAGTCTGCCATAAAGACTGATTTAAGTATAATTCAAATCACTTACATTCTATAATTCTATTTCCAAAGCAGGCCATGTAAAATTAAGATGCACACTTCACTGGGTTTTCCATACTTCCATAACTGACACCTTTTTATGAAAAATTGTACTCAAGAGGAGTAATTTCTCTGAGAATACACTAAATAATCAAAAACTCCCACCTCTTTTTAAAAGCTGATCCAGATTTCCACATTAATAGTTAAAGCTGAAGTTTTCTTCAGCTAAGACATGTCAATACTAAATCTAAAATCAGCAGTAAATCTTCCTGGCTAAGCATTTTCACAGTAAGTTTTTCTTTCCCTTTTTTTTTTTCAGAGGCTCAAGTGAAAAAATATGTTTGCATACATATTAATACAGCAATTCTAGCTCTTTCAGTGTGGTAGTGAAAAAAAAAGCTATTGGAGGCATTGTTTTTTTGTTGTTGGGTGTTTTTTTGGGGGGGGTTGGTGTTTTTTTTTTTTCTTTTTCTTTTTTTGCATAAAGAGGCAAAAGAATTGTCTTGCCACCGCCCTTCACCATTTATCCTGCCAGGGAATAAGCCACAGCACCTGCTCTGTCACTGAACTCCTCCTGCTGCTCAAACGCCCAACACGTAACACGCATGTGGAGATGCAGAGCCCAAGAACTATTATTAGATCTTGAACCCGTCCCTGCCAGAACAGAGGACTGGAACAGAGAAGCTGGGCTAAAATTTGTCTTCACCACAAATACAAACACTGCCCCCCCTTCTCCATTGACTTGAATGATCTCTATTTCATTAAAACTCTTGATCAACAATTGAGCAGATTCTATGTGATATCTGCAGGTCTCTAAAGCAGGGAAAAATAACTTCTTGTTTGAACAACCTGATTAATGAAACCTGTACAGTGACCTAGATCACTGGGCTCCTGGCAGACATTTACAAAACCTTTTGTGGTCTTGCTTCCTTCTAAGTTGCTTATAGCATATGGGGAAATTTGACCTCTGTACCTTGGCTGTTTGTCAGAAAGTTCTAATACGGTACAAGAGAGCTTCTGTTCTTCAAGCTTTGCTCACAAACAGACACTCTATGCTTGATTTTCAAGAAGAGATCAATGATAAGCAACAGCACCACCTCACAGATCCACGTCAGAAAAATAAATCCACATTAATAAAAACTTGTACCTATGCCTTGTGCCTGATAAAATCGTGGAGGCAGTATCCTTGCTGGAGCCGATAAAGACGTTAGAGCCTGCGGATGGGTCTTTAAAGAACAGTTACCTAATCACCACTGTTTATGGGGTGCTAGGCTGGAGCACTACTACCAGAAGGCTGACATCTATTGTGAAGTTTATGATCTCCGTGACTTTTACTACTGTAAACGCCTGGGATGGCTATAAATTGATGTCAGCATTAAAGGCCAGATCCTTTAGAGCAAAATATTAATCCACTAATCTATTATGGGTGGCCGGCTTTGAAATATAAACTTTGTAGTCCCAGACCATTAGGTGTTTTCGCCCCCTTGTGGAATTTATTTAGAAGGTCAAAGGAAAAGCTGTTTCTTCAAGAGGTTTTTTTGTTGTTTTATTGTTTGTTTTTCACCATTTCTAAGGACTTTGTTTTCTTTCTTGAAGCAAACAATATGAATTTGAGCAGCAAATTTTTAATCAAGGAATATTTCGGAATGACTGTCCTTCATAAAAAACAAGGATATGTGATTTACCTTAACCTATGATTAAGCATCCATAATTGAGATTTACCTTATATATGAAAATAGGCATTAGCCAAAAAAAATTTTTTGAAAATGTAATGAGATCTAGCCAGTGACTTAGCCTCCCATGTGGAGAGAGCAAACACTAAACACCCCGATAACAGGACAGCCGTGTGTAATAAGTGTAAATAACAATGCATTTGATGGTATGAGATTGGATAGGTGGAGGGAAATATCCAGGAATGCGGAATGCAATTATCCACACTGGAATGTGACCAGGCCACCGGCTCTAATCCTGTGAAAAGGGCCACAGGATCTTTAATGAGTGTTACTATCCTAATTGAGTCAGTAAAATTGACTTGAAAATAAACCTAGCAGATAACACTGTCTCCAAAAAAAAAAAAAGTAAAATTAGAATTCAAGGAATTTAGGACCCAAACCATTGGCAATGTGTTCCTTTCCAAGGGGATGGCTGTGCTGGCATACAGACGTGTTACACACAGCCGTAGGGATGGTAGGTATCATTTGGTGCTGCACCCCTATCCTCAGAATCAGTGCTCCCAGGCAGGTAAAGGCTGAGCCTCTGCAAGAGAGCAATGTGGTAGCCCTGAAATGACTTGGCCAATGAACCCCTATTATCATGTGTTCTGTTTGTCTTTTCCCCCCAGAATAGAAGGAACAATGGCAATGTCAGAATTTTAATTGCCATGGACTGGCTTAAATTACTTGACCTATTTTTGTGCAGCCAGGAAAGAAATGATTCTTTTTTCCTGATAGCCATACTTACCATTTAAACTGGTAGAGGAAATACAAGGACATTTTTTTTCAAACAGTATACTGTTGATAAACAGTTTTAGTGTGTTGTCTAGTAAATAAGACCAACTTTTATTTTTGAAAAATATTAAGATACCTGAAATAAACAACTTTTTCTACTCACAGGAGAGAATTAAACTTATAAGTAATATTAAACGACTCATTTTAAATAGTCTAAGAGCTGCTGGTGTGAATTTCTACTATTTTTTTTTTTAACACAATAAAAGAAAAGCTAAGAGAAGCAGCAGTCTGTGTTGAGGAACTGAATTCATGGTCCCTGAAAGAGACAGAATATCAGACCAACCCCGTTCATACTTTCTACGAACAAATAGTGGGTTTTTAGTGGCTAAATTTTTATCAGATACTTCCTTTCCCAAGATGAGCACTAAATGTTATTAGAAGCAGCCCCAGGAGATGGCTGGTGGTGTTTTTTGAGAATTCAGCTTGCCAAAACCCAGGACTTGCAGAGTGAACTAAAGCGGATGAAAGATGGACGATGAGTATTATTACTTGCTTTACATGTTGTTGGCTTTCATTAGGCTGAACTAATCTGAAAGATTAGTGAGGCAGGGCACAACGTGGGGTGAGGGCTGGGTTCACGGGAATTCTTTGAATTTTCCCATGGCATCACCATTGTGTTCAGCCCTGAAATCCTTCCCTTTCTTCCCTCTACAGTAGAGTAGTTACTTGATTACATTTTGGGTTGCTGAACAAAGCAGAAAAAGGATTCTGTCTCCTGAGGAGCCTACAGCAAGACAAGGTTAGTGTGATGTGCCTTGCAGGAGATATGCAAATAGGGAAGTGGCTTTTGAAAAGTTAATAGTGCTAAAAGAATCCTGCCAGTCCATTCTTGAAAACTGGGTGGGGAGCAAAACAGCTTGAGTAGAAGTCACACTAGCATAAAATCAGAA